CCAGGGGCTTGATTGAGAGGATGGAGAATTAATATTTAATGGGTACAGAGTTTCAGTTTGGCAAGAAGTTCTGGAGACAGACGGTGGTGACGATTGCACACAATGTGAATGTATTTCATGCCACAGAACTGTCCACTGAAGAAATGGTTAAGACACTATGCTTTATTTGATGCATATTTCACCTTAAATAGAAATAAATGTAGGGGGTTGGAATTGGATGCCTACATGAATTGGAGATCTGAAAAAGAGAAAGGAATGAACTAAAATCAAACTTCTCACTGACTCAGGTAGATGATAAAGAAATTTAAGCATAGCTAGAAAATGAATGAATGAATGAATGAATAATTTCCCTGGGAATTCATAATCACAGACCTGAGGCTCAAATTTTGACCTGGGAAGCCCCCATGTGCAAAAGTAATGCAATTATGTTCTCAGTTAATGAGACCCCAAATGCAAAAATAATGAAATTCTGTTCTCAGCTAATGGCAGAAGAAAACATACTAGTGTGGAATATATTATTGGAAGAACTTCTAGTATAAACATGTCCTTTCACTCCAAATGGATTTCTAGATTTATTACAATACCAATCAAAATCCTAGCAGGTGTTTTTGTGGAAATTGATTAGCTGATTCTAAAATGCACATAGAAATGCCAAAGGCCCAAAGAAACCAAAACCATTTTTGAAAAAGCAAAGCAAAGTTGGAAGACTTAATCTGCCAGATAACAAAACTTTTCCATAAAGCCTTTACATCAAGACAGGGCTGCCTTGGTACAAGGATAGACAAACAGACCAATGGGGCATTACAGAAACCTCCACATAAACTGGATATGCGGTCACTTGATTTATGGCAAAGTTGGTGGTGCAGTGCAATAATGAATCTTGACCCCTACCTAACACCATGCCAAGAAACCAATTCTAAATGGATTAGAGAGCTATGTTGTTAGAATTCTGTCAATAACTTGGTAGGAGAAAAGACATTCATGGAAATAAGGGACGCTGAAATGTGAATTTTTCCTTAGTGTTCCATGTTCTCTGTCGAGCACTTAGAAAATAAATTAGGTTGTGGTTTTTCTGGAATAGTTAGTGGGAAGATAGATGGGAGAGGTTCATGGCTTTCAAACTTTTTCAACTCAACTACTTTGATGAAAAAGAAAACCATATGAACTACATTGCCACTTGTGCTTACAGGAATTCGCTCTGAAGAAACTGCATTGGGATATCCAAAGTTCAAGACAGGGTTTTTAGACACGGGTATTGCCAGTAACTAGCTGTGTGATCTTAGGTAAACCACCACCTCCCTCTGGGCCTGGATTGACTCAAGAGACAAAATAAAGGGGGATATTTAAATAAATGTTGAAGGTATAGACACGTTACTGATCTGGTATAAGCTAAATAGTCCGTTCCCCGGATGATGCACATGTCCATGTACTTGCACAATTTTGAATGTTCTGGTTGTTTATGGATCTTCAAAAGATCATTCGTGAACCTCCAAAGAATATATTGACCCTTGAACACCTGGAACATGTGATAATGGGTTTACAAAAGGAGGCATTGCCTTTTAGAGATGTGACCTGAAATAGTTATAGATGAAATAAGTTGATGTCTGGAATTTGCTTAGAATTATCCAGTGTGTGTGTGTGGGAAGGGTTAATAGATGAAACAAGATGATAAATTGATAATTGATGAAGCCAGGTGATTAGGTACATGATGTTTCTTCATACTGTTCTCTCTACTTTTGTGTATGTTGAAATTCTCCACCATAAAATAAATTTACATAATAAAATTATCCATCATTTAAAAATTACCTGGAATAGATGATCTTTAGTGTTTCCAATTCTGAAATCCCATGATTTAGCATCGCAAAGCATCTGCCAAGAAATGCGCTTCTGGAAACATTTTTATGTGCTCAGGGCATTGAATCATCATCATTCCTCTTCTATTGAACCCTCTGGACTAAGGGGTTTGTCGTGGGCCTCATTTTCCAGATGATTCTGTGATATTCCATTTAATTACTTCCACAAATATACTTTCAGGGAAAGGGCAGCAAAACCAAAATCTAGAACCTGGACAAGAATTGGTTTGTAATCATCTCATGTGATACTGTGGCTCAATTTATTTTCAAATATTCCTTGAGACAAGAAGGCCAAAATAACTGCTGTAAATGACTTTTAGTGGCATGTAAAATACTGGGTTAGGATGTTAGATGAAATGGGAGATGTTGTGCTGTGGCCGAGAACTCACACTCCCGACCAATGCCACCTGAGTCCCTGTCCTTGCTGTGTCACTCAACTACGAGTCCTTGAGGGTAAGTCATCTTTCTGAGCCTCCACTTGCCTATCCATAAAATGGAAATACCAGTGCAAGTGCCCTCAGAGGGTAATCCTGAACAGTCAGGTTGTGCCGGACACGTAGCAAGCATTGAATAGATGCGCACCCTTGTCCTCTCAATTGTGCAAATATAAAAGAGATGAAAAAGGACATACGATATAGGTCAAACATTATCAGTAGCTGCCGGTGGGTTTTGGCCAGTAGGTGATCTTATTCTTTTCTTTATTTTTGCTTGGACGTTGCAAATTTCTACAAGAAGTGTTTGTTACTGTTATCATCAGAGAGAAAGGTTTCCTTAAAAAGTTATTTTAAAAATGTTTCTTGAGAAAGCTTAATGCCCAGGCTTGTCCCACTCGGTGCTCAGACAAACAAAGCACTTCAGAGGAGTAAGATGGAATGATTGCTACTGTCGTGCTCACATTTTCCTCCCCAGGCTCTCATCTGTAGGAAGATTCTTGCAAATGCCAGTGAGCCTTCAGCTGTGGCGTTCCTGGTGTAGAATGAACGGAGGCTGCCTCTGCCCCCGTTTCTCGCCATCCTGTCTCCTCACCACACATTCCTCCACACCATGGGACCCTCAGAGAATATCACAAAGGCTGTGCCAAGGAGAATTCATTCGGGTTGCATTGTTTTGTGTTCCATTTCCTGGGGTTCATGTCCCTCCCCCACCCACCCCCTAATGCATAGCCCATCTCCACTGATTAAGAGCACCTAAGCCATGACAGCAAATTTAGGAATGTGTAAACAGGCTTCAGGCGTGTTTGAGAAACACGGACGTGTACAAATCTGAAACCATAAGCCAGATAAATTGGTGGTTAATTATGGCTATTACATAGGTAGTTTTTGTGTTGCCAAAGAATTTACATTAGGATATCTATAAATAGCAAACCCATGTGGTGTGCTTGAACCCGGCTGCTGTGTATCTAAATGCTAAGCACTTTCCAGAACTCACCTACTGCAGAGCAACAGGCCCAATTCAAAGAGTTTAATGCCATCCTGGCCGGGTGGCTCAGTGGGTTGGAGCGTGATCCCGTGCACCAAAAGGTTGCGGACTCGATTCCCAGTCAGGGCACATACCTACCTAGGGTGTGGGTTCGATCCCCAGTTGGGGTGCCTACAGGAAGCAACGGATTGATGTTTCTCTCTCCCATTGATGTTTCTCTCCTTTCCTGTCCCTAAAATTCAATAAATGCCAGCTTCGCTCTTGAGTATAGCCACATTCATTTTCAGTATTCTAGATCACCTTTGAAATGGCCACTAACCCTATCACTTAGGTGACTCATGGTCAAGGACGGACAATGAGACACCCAGACACTTCTGGGTGGAGAAGAGCGGTACATATGTGTGGGTTGTGAGGCTGCCCTGGAGGGGATCGTCTGGGGCCAGATGGATGCCATCTCCTTTTCTCAGGTGGGAGTATACCAGGGTGGCCTTCAGCTCATCTCACCTGTTCCTCCCGATGACTCTGCAAAGTGAGGCTTTGCCCTTATTTCCAAGTGTTTTAGAAAAGTTGACACACATGCCCCTGGTCAGACATCTAGCAGAAAAATTTACATAAAAATAAGAAGCATGCAGAGCTCTCGGTCTTGGATTAATTACCTCCTAACTTCGGGGACTGGGATAGGTACTGCGCCCAGTGACGCTTAAACTGAAAGCCACTTAGCTGTGATTTTGCTCCTTCCATGTGTCAGTGGCTTCCAGGGGTGTGTGGGAAGGCAGAGAAGGGGGGGTTCCTTTGCCCCCTCAGACCTGCCCTCCAAACTGGCACCCCTCTTTCCTTCACTCTTACACAACGACTCCCCCCACCCCCCAATATGCTGGGGGAACTCACTGGGAGACCTGTATAAAGAGCCAGGAACCTTGCACTTCTGAAAAACCCATCCAACTACCAAGTCCATCTTACAGTTTTCACTCCAAACGGCATCTCCCTGCCAGCGGCGGCATTTCCCTGGATCCTCTTCCAAGGTTGCCAAACAGGTGCCTGGCACCCACGAGAGTTTCGGAGCAGCAGCGACAGGAGAGGTGCCGCGGGTCGGTTCTGTGTATGTGTTCGCGTAACTCAGAGAAGCAAATGAAAGTTCCGCGAGTGTTAACTTCCACCAGAGGAGCATCCCCGTTCCCGCCACCACAGCTTTCCCACCGCCCAGTTTTCCTGAAACCCGCGGCATCCGAAGTGCGGGCTGAGCTCTGGTAAGCGGAGGGTCTGGGAGACCCTCGGGATTCAGACAAGCCTTTGCTGGCCCGCAAACGCCCTCCTGGCTTTTCTGGAGGAATAGCCCTGGGCTGTCCGCCCCCAGAAGCCGCCTAATACCCACAGGCGTTTGAGCACAAACAGGCAAAGAACAATTAAGCCATGAGCACCCACGAGCGCGATCTATCGCTGACCCCGGAGTCCAGGTGAACTGCGTGAGCTCCAGGGGCAGAAGCCCAGCGGAGCCCGCGGGGTGTGAGGGCGAGGAGGCTGGGTCCACAGGAACGTGGTCCAGCACCCGGAGCAGCGAGGCAAGCCGGACACTCAGGTCTCAAGGGAGGACCAGTCCTTGAAACCTGGTGGACTTAGGGGGCCGTCTCAGCCCACCCCCCGCGCCAGCGCCAGTTCAGAGGAAACCAAGGTGGCCAGAGAGGGGCACAAATGGAGAGTTTGCTTCTCTTGGGGCAATGCGCGCGGTACCTTGGATTCCTGGCTGCCGGTGGATGCCGGAGAGGGCGGCTGCTCGGCGCTCGCTGCCTCCTCGGGCAGCCTGTCCACGCCGTCCTGGCGGGCGCCGCTCGGGGGGATCATCGCGGCGGCGCGGGCACGGTGCGGGGCTCCCGGAGGAACAGCGGGGCTCGCCTTCCTCCGGTGCGCCCTCCCCGCCGCGCGCTGGGCGGCTCAGCTCGGGGTTCCAGGGACTCCCATCCTCGCCGAGGCTCCGATGCGCCCTCCACCGGCCTCACCCCCGCCCTGCCCACGTCCCCCGCGCTCCCGTGGGGAGAGGAGAGCGCGCCCCGCCCCGCCCCGCCCCGCAGCCACCTCGCTGGCGACCCAAGGGTGGTGACAGCCCCAGGCAGCGGGGCGAGCGGGCTCCGATTCAGGATGATCACCCCGGAGAAGCGGGAGGCGGGAGACGGCTCCGGGCGGGGCTGCGGGGCCAGGGCCGGGAGCGAGGGCAGGCAGGGGCGTGCGGGTGAGAGCCAATGCTGGGGGCTGGGCGCGCACCCGCAGGATCGGGGTGATTGTTTCGCGGGGCGGGGAGTGGGGGTGGGGGTGGGGGTCGGGGAAATTCCGACCAAACCCAGGAATGAATAGAAAACCCGAGAGTGACTCAGCCAGGAGGAACCACCTGCAACAACTCCCTCCTTCCTCACACTGAGAAGCAGCCACTCAAAGGGAGGCAGTGACTTAGCCAAGTTATTTATAGGGTTCGGTGACGGAGATCAGGGACCAAAGCTGGGGTTCCCTGGCTTGAGAGCACCAGGCTTCCCGCCATTCAGCGTGGGACTAAAGCAGAGAGAGAATGAAATGCGCCTGTGTCCTCACTTGGTTGTGCTTTCCGGAGCTAAAGCCCGTTAGGCTTTTCGTCTCCCTGGATGCCCAGAGCCACACTCTTGGGCTAGGTGGGTACTACTACTTCCATTTTATAAATGACACGACTGAGGTTTTAGGGAGGCTCAGGTCTTTGCTTTAAGTGACTGGACGATAAGTAGTGGGGCTAGAATTAGAACCCATTTTGGCTTCAAAATCCATGCTCTTTGGACTGTGGAGCTTCCAATCTCGGCCAGACCTTCATCGCTGTAGAGCAACTGGGTGTTGCCCTATAGAAATGAGTTCAGGGCCGTTCACAGATAGGCAGCCCATTCTGCCTGAACAGACATTACGGAAACATAGACTTGGCCCCATTGGATAAAGTGGCAGAAGGATCCAGGATTTTTTTTTTTAAATATATATTTTTATTGATTTTACAGAGAGGAAGGGAGAGAGACAGAGTTAAAACATCCATCAACTGCCTCCTGCAGGACCCCTACTGGGGATGTAGCCCACAGCCAAGGTACATGCCCTGTGTCTGGAATTGAACGTGGGACCCTTCAGTCTGCAGGCCGATGCTCTATCCACTGAGCCAAACCAGTTAGGGTGGATCCAGTATTTTTTGAAGATACAGTCTCTACATAGGGAAAGGAAATACATCTAGATTTTTAAAACACTTAAAAATATGCAAAAGTCCATCCTTAATTTCCTAATAGAAAATAGTAAACTTAAGTTTAGATTTGCTCTACTAGCTGTGAATGTGTGCAAGGCCAGCCTCATGCTTGCAGCCTGTGACGTGACCCAGACTCCTGCACTTGGTTCAGTGCTCTTCTGTTGCTTCCTGAAATTTTTAATAAGTTTTGAACAAGGGGCGCTGCATTTATATTTTGCCTTGGACCCTGTGAATTATGTATCTGGTTCTGTGTGTTCGCTTTAGCTCATGCCCTTTGGAAAGAACTTATTGCTTTTTCCATCCATTGAAAACACCTGTTCTGAGTGACAGCCTCTCACTGGACATTTGGCACTCAGAGAGCTCTAGATATCACAGTATCCCATCGCCTCTCATTTGATCAGGCCAGGATGGCTAACCCAATAACCATGGCTTTATTCTCCTCAAAACACAATTCCTGATTGTTCCATAGAGACAATTTCTGACAGCTAACGTCACAACAGCAGCAAACAGAGCACACAATGACAGAGCAGCAGTGTCAACACAACTTTCTCAAGCATCTCTTCTGTACCAGGCATTGTGCTAGAAACGAACAACAGAGAGAAAACATAGATTAAGTCTGTTCTCCTGGAACTTAGAGCCCAGTGAGAGAGACAGGAATTAATTAATGTGTGTGCGCGCGCGCGCGCACACACACACACACACACACACACACACACACACTCACGCATTTCCCATGAACTGTGATAAGGAAAAGTATAGGACTTGAATGAATGTGTACAGATGTGAAGCCTGATCTAATGCGAGGGAGTGAAATCCCCATGGTGTATGGGCAATTCCAGGCTTGATGGCTTACAACATGGCCTTACAACAAGGAATTTTTCAACCTTGGATTTTATTTTACTTTTGTAAGAACTGAAGAGCAGCTGTAAGATGGAAAGGGATTTATGTGAAAGAAACGCAGGAGCAAAGTCTTGATCAGTTCTGGAAACTACAGGTAGTTCCAGTTTCCTAAGAGAGGTAGCTATTATGCATAAGACTAAGGATTTCTGTGACTAGTTAACACGTTACCTAGTTAAATTGCCTTATTCTTCAAAACACATCTCCAACCATTTTTTTACTCTTGAAAAATCTCCTTCCTTGACCCCGTTAATCTGATTTTAAGTCCCAAACCATGTTCTCATGGCAACCTCTCCTAAGTAATCAATGATGAAGCTGCCTGTCCTCCCGCTGGGCTCTGAGCTGCACTAGGTCAGGGACCATGTCATGTTCATCTTGTTTTCTCAGCCTCTGGCACAGTGTTTGTTAATGAGATGTGAAAGGAGATTGCCCTGGTGGCCCCCTGAGCCTTAACGTAGCCTCGGCATTCATTGCTCTGAGTGCCGTCCGTGCACTGAATGGAGAAAGACACTGGATGTTTCCACAAAGCAGTGAGATTTAAAATTACACAAGCTCCTTGATAGTAAGGATTTTGTCTTGATTGGATTGAGAGGATCTTAAACTGAGAGTCATGGCTGTCTGTGAATGTGCGGTTCAATGGTTTGCAGGAAAGTAAAGGGTCACAGCTCATCTCTGGACATAGGCGTGGAAGTGGACAGGGCGCTGCGTTGTCTGAGTCTGTGGGTGGAGGGCTATGGCAGAAAGGGATGGCACCCTATTTGATGCCTTGAGGCTTGGGCCATATGCACCGCTGCTTTGGGACTAGATGGCAATGCTGAATCTAAGTCCTGGAGGGATGAGTGTCCTCCCACGTTGTCATGAAAACCAACCCTGGCCTGGTACTAAGGGGGCATTGATGTACTGATAGTAACGCCCAGAGGACAGACAGTGGAGAGGACTGATGCCCTTCATGTATTGGAGGTCAGTGGATGGTAGGCCAGCAAAGTGATTCCCAGGGGACACCTGATAAAACACACATATGAGCAGAAGTGTGCTTTTTCACGGCCCCCTTTGAGATACCCCTTAGGGTATCTCACTTATACTCCCACTTGTCCTGGGGGTGAGACCTCACAGAAGACTGGAGGTCCTGCATCAGCAGCTGGAGTGATGTTTGAGCAACGATGGTCGAGCTTACTTTTACCATAGGCTGCTGAAGCGTGGGGAAATTCAAGTTGCAAAGAATTACCCGAAGTCTCCAGTTTGTATCAGGACCCTGTGATTTTTGTAGCTTCCTTTTATGGTCCATTTATTTCACTCTGGTTGCTGGTTACATATCAAGCCAGCAGAAGTATGAGGCGTGCAGAAATTTATCTTCACAAACTTGAACTGGAAACTCCCACTCCTGGTTCATTTACACATTCATTAATTTGTAAAAAGGGCAAACAAAGCCTTCCGCCTGGTCACATACACCTGTGTTCGCAGTAACGCTGCTCAACAGAACAGTGCATAATGCTTTCAACCTTCTCTCATTGCTTTGCTCCAAATCCGGATAAAAGTTGCTCATCACTTTTGGTTCTTTGTTTTAGTAATTAGCATTTAACTTTATATACCCTCTCGTATGAGTGCAGGGTAATAGTTTAAAAGGCACAAGATCCAGCCCGCCCTGGCCTTTTTGCCCCTCAAAAATGCCAGGTCTGTTCGCTCTCCCAGCTTTGATGCGTGTGGCCATTCCCTGCATCTGAGAATCCCACCGTGATTCCCATGGCCAGCTCGTGGTGTTGGGCCTCAGTGCCTACCATCTGAAAACATCCTGCTTTTCTTTTCTCCTTTGGCGTCTTTTATTCCCAAACATCAACCTGGCAAGGCACCATGCTATTAGACCCATTTTGTAGATGAAGTCATCGGAAATCTGAGAAGCTGTATGACTTCCCTAATGGGATATGTTAAGTGCAGAGTAGAGAGTACAGCCCCTAGGTTCAGACTCTAAACCTCAGGCTCCTCTCAGTGTAAGCAGACGTTGTATAAGAAGTCTGTACAGCCCTGGTTGGTTTGGCTCAGTGGCCAGAGCGTCAGCCTGAGGCGGACTGAAGGGTCCCTGGTTCGATTCCTGGTCAGGGCACATGCCTGGGTTGTGGGCTCGATCCCCAGTTGGGGGCATGCAAGAGGCTCCGATCCATGATTCTCTCTCATCATGGATGTTTCTCTCTCTCTCTCCCTCTCCCTTCCTCTCTGAAATCAATAACAATATATTAAAAAAAAGTCTGTACAGCATGATTTGAGGGCACAGGCAGGGGAAGGATGAGGTCCACCAAGTGGAAAGGATGTTGGAGAAGGTTCCAGTGTAATTGGAAGGTGACTACAATTTTCCCTGGAAGAATTCTTGAGCAGACTATACAGTATCAGCAGAGACATAGAAGTGTGCTTGTGCAGGGGATGTTCAGGTTTGGTTCTTAGAACACCATGGTTTCTTGTTTTTCTTTAAAATGCCTTTTAGAGAGAGAGGAAGGGAGAGGGAGAGAGAGAAAAAAAAAATCGATGTGAGATGAAACAATGATGGCTGCCTCCTGCATGCCCCCTATGAGGCAATCGAGTAGATGTCCTGACCCGGAATCGAACAGGCAACCTTTCGGTGCATGGGGCGATGCCCAACCGAGCCACATCAGCCAGGGCTGTTTTCTTTGTAACTTTTACTGATAAGTAAAAAATGCTTAAACAAACAAACAACAACAGCAACGAAGGGAAAGCCTGGAGCTGGAGAACTTCTTTGAGTAATAATTTTAGGTAAGTTTACAAATGGCTGTTGGGGAGAGCTGGATCTCTGTCAGCTTGGGAAAGACAGTTTTGGTTCATAACAGAGGGAGGGGAAAAGCATCATAAG